CAGACAGAGAGAGAGAGAGAGAGAGAGAGAGAGAGAGAGAGAGAGATGGGTTTTGCTCGCTTGTGTGGATAGAGTGTAGGTGTGGGCCAGTGAAGTGCTTAATTTTAGTCTCAAGTGCCGAATGGCAGGAAGAGGGCGTCCGTGCGCGATGCGTGAACACGCCCGCGGTGTAATAGCACAAGTGCAGAAGTGTTTGCTTTGAGCGTCGCGCACCCGAACAACACGGACGTAACTGAAAAACCAGAAAATGGAGCTGAACAAGAGGCTTGCGGAGAAGAAGAAGCGGCGAGAGCTGCGTGAGGCCGAGTCGAGGCGACGCAAGGAGAAGCGAGCGAGGGACGAGGAGGCCAAGGCGCTCCGCAAGCGGATGGGCTCCAGCGTGAAGGAAGCCGACCGCCTGCGGGCGAAGCTGAGGGACAGGGCGGAGCAGACGGGGCGCGTGCGGGCGCGGGAGGCTCTCTGGAGGTAGGTGGCGTTTCTGCTTGGACTTGCACGGTGGCTGGGTGACTGTACGCTTTGCTGTTAGAGGTATTGTAGTTGAGGTGCTGCTGATACTCCCCGGTGTTTTCTGTCGTCGCCGTGAATAGCCGACCCCGCTTGGTTGGCACACAAACGTCGATTCAATGCAGACGAGTGTGACTTTAACGCGTAGACTTCTTCACAAGAGTGTCTTGCACGTGTTCACGGCTGCTTGTTCTACCCTTGGTAATTCTGAGTGTGGGGTCTCCAGGAAGGGGTTGCTCGTAATGTGCAAACACGTGCTCACGATAGCCTTGCCTTTGGGTGTGCTCTCCTCGGCAGATAGCGAAAGGGCAAAGAAGCGTTCTTCCGCGCCTCTGCGCCCTCGCCCTCTCTGTTGCCGTGTTGTTGTTGTACTCGTCCGCTGTCGGCACTGGTCGTGTCTGAACACAATTTGCAGCGCGCAGCATGGGCAGCAAATACGACATCGTGCGTGGTACCATGTCGGCACTTGGCTTTGTGACGTGAGCCGTGGCCTACTCCGTGCTCGGTTGGTTGTGGTGTGTGCGCCACTGGCCGGGACGCTTGCGTAACCATCACACGTTGGAGGAAACGTCGATTGTTGCTCGATTCAGTGACGTCTTAAAAAATTGGGAGGGAAGTGGGGGCAGCTCGACGGTGCGTCGTGCACCATACCCGTTTCTTGTCCTCGAGCCTCGCCCAGAGAGTTCGCCTTCTCGATCCTCTCGTTACCGATTCTGTAATGATAAAGAATCGTGAAAGCATTGTTCTAAACATAGATGCCCCTTCGTACTTTCAATCTTATTTTTCGCCGGCAGGTGGCGGGCTCATGCTGCGGGGGCTGTGGCAACCCGCGAACGCAGGGAGCGCCTCGCGGCGGAGCAAGCCATGGCCGCATCCTCTACAACCGCAGCGGCGTTGGCGGCGGCGGCGGCGGCGGCGCGAGGTGGTGGGGCAGTTGTTACGGAGAACGGTGATGCCCGGAACGCTCGACGGTCCGATCTCGCGCGGAACAACCGCGGCGATGACGAGGCCGCCCGGCGCCGTGACAACGGAAAGGGGCGAGCCGTCGGGGCCGCGGCCACTCTCTTAGCCCCGAGCGGCGACTACCAAGGAGTGTACGGCGGCGGCAGCAGTAGCGGCGGCGGTGGCATGGGTGGCAACACCGCGGGGTGCGGAGAGGGTCAGCTTGGTTCGAGAACTCCTATCGAGCGGCGGGGGCGTGGTGCACATCCTCACGACATCGTTGGAGCCACGCCTATATTTGATAGGGTTTCGGCCGCCGCTGCTGCTGGCGCTGCCGCCACCGGTGCTGGTGCGGATGGTAGTTCGACTTCGGCCGCTCTTGCCACCTCGGTTGAGGCGCCGGCTCTGCGGCAGGATGCGGCGCACCAGGCGGCAGCAGCGGCGGCGTTGGAACGAGATCAACGGGAACGCGCGCGGGGCCGGGCTCCCGCGATGGAGGTTGGCACAACTTCGGGACAAGTCACGGACATGAGACGCGAGCGCCAGGAACGATCGGGCAGAAGAGTTTGGCTTGATTCTCCTCCTACTGCCGTTACTGGTGCCTCTGCCCCGCCCGTGGGTGCAGTAGCGCCCTCCCCCGAAGCCACGGAGAGAAGAGCCGGGCGCCTACAGGCGGCGGCGGGTATGAGGGCGTCGATGGGTTCCGCTACTGCCGCCAAGGGCGCCGCGGCTACGACTGCCGCTACTGCTGCGGCAACCGCCACCGCCGAGGCCGATGACGCCGCGAGGAGGAGCTGGGAAGCGCAGGAACAAGAGCTGCAGCTGTCCAGGCTGTCGGCGGAGAGGAGCCAGCTGGAGGGGCGCATGCAGGGTGCCGCTCAAGCCGCCACTGCTGCTGCTGCGGCCGCTGCTGCTGTCGAGCGAGGTGTGCTTTTGTGACGCATTGCTGCCGTGTTCAGTATGTGATGCTGTCGTTGCTGTCGTCGAGCAAGGTGTGCCGTGACGCACTACTGCTATGATCGTGTACAGTGTGTGATGCTGCGCAGCACGAACGGTCAGATGTGGTACTCACGGAAGATGAGTCAGTTCCTAACCGCGTCACCCCGGATGAGAGTAGCGTTGAGCAGAGGGAATCAGGCCTGGGGGCATGGTGTGTACGGCACTCGGTCAAATGGGAGGAGGTGCGCCACAAGCACTGAATCAGCCGGCGTCGAGTTCGCCGCGTTCCCCTCCGGTGTGTGGCGCGTGGATAGTGCGCTCGTGGCCGGTCGCAGTACTGGATTGTTTCCCTACGGTTGATACCGTAACAAGAACACCGCCACCCGGCACTCGTGTATGTGGGGCGCCTTGCCGTAGACACGGGAGATCTTGACCGCGATAAATACCTGCCGTTTCCTTCCTTGGCCCCCATCACCGTGACCCCTTTGATGATTGTCTCCCATGCGTACACCCCGGAGTCATCGTTTTTTCAATGTGCGCGATCTGTTTTTACAGAAGGCCTCAACGAGCACCTTGTAAAGATTTGAAGCCCAAAGCCTTACTCACTTGATGGTTGTAATATTTATCCTCACCCGAGTCGCAAATGCCCGCCACTCCCAAGTGAGTCCTCATCTCCTTAGAACAGGTGCACGAAATCCGCGAAGCAATTCCCTTCACGTTGTGTGCACGCAAAAGCTCATATCGCTTGATATTCAATGTCCCCCGACATCTCTGTGTCGTGCCCGCTTTCTATTAGTTCTCCCCTTCCCGTACACCTCGCCTCCCCCCC